GGTGGTTCGATTCCCCGCTGGTCCGCGAGTAAGCCTCAAGTGGTGACCCGCCGAAAGGCAAAGGGCGCCGGCCAAAAAAAAAGCTTTGGAACGGGGTGAAAACCAGATTCTCTCGCTCAACGCCCGTCCAAAATCAATGCGATCCAATAGATACCATTGTTAATGGCAACTCTCACACCATCGGGTCGGACAATGAAATGACACTCCCGACAAGCGCATCCATCGCAATGTGCCGAATATATGCAACGATTGGCAACGTCGTAAAAAGTACAATCTTGCCAGAACAGCAGAGAATATACATAGATATGTTCATAGTAATCTGATCACCATGAACATGTAGGTGTCATATGCAAAGAATCCGATACAAAAAGCACGGCCTCACAAAATACAAGTTCACCTTGCACCAAGTGGTTCCTAACGCCAAACGACGCTCGTTCTCGCAATACGACACCCTCGCACACACATATCATTTTCCATTGCGTTCAGCAGCGGAGCTTTTTGAACCACGAGGCGCAATTTGGGATGTGGCTTTGACTTCTGGCTTGATTTAGGTTGGAAAAACGGTCTCGTCATGTGGGCCTCCCATGAAGTTGTTGATAGAGACAAGTGGATAGAGACATGTTGATAAAGACAAGCTGATAGAGACAAGTTGATAGAGACAAGTTGATAGAGACAAGTCGATAGAGACATGTTGATAGAGACATGTTGATAGAGACAATTTGATAGAGACAAGTTGATAGAGACATGTTGATAGAGACAAGTTGATAGAGACATGTTGATAGAGTTGATAGAGACAAGTTGATAGAGACAAGTTGATAGAGACATGTTGATAGAGACAAGTTGATAGAGACAAGTTGATAGAGACATGTTGATAGAGACAAGTTGATAGAGACATGTTGATAGAGACATGTTGATAGAGACAAGTTGATAGAGACAAGTTGATAGAGACATGTTGATAGAGACAGTTGATAGAGACAAGTTGATAGAGACATGTTGATAGAGACATGTTGATAGAGACATGTTGATAGAGACATGTTGATAGAGACAAGTTGATAGAGACAAATTGATAGAAACATGTTGACAGAAACATGTTGATAGAGACATGTTGATAGAGACAAGTTGGAGGAGACGGCGGGAGGTGGAGGACGAGGCGGAGGGCGAGGCGGAGGCGGATAGCGAACAAAAAGTTAGAACCCCACACGAAGATGTGGGAATAACATATATATTAAAAAAATATATTGAATATATATATATATACATACAGTTTTTTGAATATATATCCAATATATATCGAATATATATCTTATATATATATCCAATATATAAATAACATATATATATAATATAACATATATATAATATAACATATATATATAATATAACATATATATATATATATACATATATATTATATGTATATTTATATATATATTGTATCATACATTATATATATAGAATAAATATCTTGATATATATATATATGTGTGTAATCATATAAAATATATTTGTGTGTGTAATCATACATCTATAAATGTAGAATCACATACTCAAGCAGACCAGGAGATAGAATATGAAAAAAAATTAGCTCACAGATAGAATATGAAAAAAAAACTAAGGTCGCTAAGACCCCAAACAGCAGATAGAATATGCAAACAACATATGCAGATAAAATATGAACATATGATATATGTGCAATGTTGCATGTGTATGCAGTACGGTACTGCACTGCCTGCAGCGAGTACAGTATAACGACCAAAAAATAATGCAACACATACAAAAACCATGAGATTGAATGTCACATCCTTCCAGCCAATAGTTTGCTCTCACTTTTTTCTCACCCCTAACTATGCTACGGTATGCAGTACGGCTGCCTGTACAACCAGAAACTTCTTGTGCATATTCTAAGTGGCCATATTCTAAGTGCATGGGCCCATATTCTGAGTGCATGGGCCCATATTCTAAGTGCATGGGCCCATATTCTAAGTGCATGGGCCCATATTCTAAGACCAAGGTTCTCGGCCTAGCTCTGAAAACCCTATTCCCCGAAGAGCGGCTTAGCTCAGCTAAGCAAATCTTAAAGTTTTATATTCTAAGTGCTGGTCCGTCATTGTATGTATATGTAATATATGTAATATATGTAATATATATATATATTGATATAATATAATATATTTATTTATAATATAAACCCTGAGTACCATATTGAACCTACAGCAGTATGCGGGAGCATAAATATTGTCATTCTGTTTTGGGGGGAGGCCCTGCGCCCCTGTTTATGTTTTGGACTGAACCTTACCAAGTCATAGCCTCAGAGTTTCTCTCAAGTGGTGGGTGGGTGGGCCGCTGTGTTTTAATCACTCCAAAGCGAGTGATGGGGGTTTGACTAGTTAGATGGGCGCAATGGACGATGTTATCCATGTTGATGAAGATGGACTCCATGGTGTATCGGCCAGCCTGGAGCCTACTTGCGTTGCGCCTGGACCTTCAGAGACCTGGGAATTGCCTTGTGAAAGTGCCCCCAGTGGTTTTGAGCTTGACAGTCAACCCTTTCAAGTTGTTTCTGAATTTGATTTCAATTTTCCTTTGCCTTCTGAGCACAGCGGTGAACTTGAGAACACTATACCAGTTTCAATGTGTCCGAGTCCCAGCACGCCAAGACAAGTTGTTGAACCTGTGCCTGTTTCTGATTCCAATTCTTTGCAATCTGTTGTGAGTGATTCTCAGTGGAAACTTGGTGTGGTGGCAAATCATAGTCAGTTTGCACAGCATCCGATGTCACTTCTTTTGCCTTGGGAAACTGGGATTTACGCCGAAATTTTTGGCACTGGTTCTACCTTGCAAATGCCTTCAAGTCATTTGCCTGAGCCGGACAGTGAACTCATGAACAAGGTCATCACGGCGTCAGAGGCCTTAGTTGACGAACCTGTGCTACCGACTGATGCATGTTTTCACAAAGCAGTGCGAAACATTCAGGATCTTGATTATTTCCAAAACAAAAACAGACAGCTTGAACTTGCCTGCGGTCAATGGTTGGAACTCCTCTCATGCAGTTGGTTTGCATCTGGAGTTGGTGAGATGTTAGCAAGAGATATGCAGAAGGATTCAAGCGGCAAGCTGGCAAATGAGACGCTGCAGGCTTCGTTTGGCACCAAGAGCCCACAGACACTGTTGAAGAGAGCTGCAAGTCTGCGTAGGTATTTCAAGTGGCATGCATGTGAGCGTTCAGATGCTGGTGAGATTCATTTGAGTCCTCTCCCGCTGTCCGAGCCTGATGTCTGGGAGTTTTTCAACTGGCTTAAAGCATGCAGGCTGAGCTCTGGAAGGGGATTCACAAATCAAGCTGCCTTTTTGGAGACAGTGCGTTTTGCAAAATTTTGTTTGGATCTACGTGAGACTGATTGCATCCTTCAATCCAGAAGGCTGCTGGGCTTTGCTGCAATTCAGAGGTTGCAGAAGGGCCCCACGAAGCAGGCTCCACCTCTTGAGCTAGCTCATTTGCAGAGGCTTCATGAAATACTGGAAACTGCAGCATGTGACACTGACCGTTTGGGAGCAGCAGTGATGTTGATTTGCGTTTATGGTAGGGCAAGGTGGTCAGACTTGCGCTACATCCACCATGTGACAATCGAAGAAGGCCGCAATGGGTTTTTGACGTTGTATACAACTGAGCACAAGACATCAGCGGTTGGGGCGAGGCGTGAACAATACCTGCCGCTGGTCATTCCATGGATGGGTGTGACGCACAATGAATGGGTACGCACTTTCCTGGATGTGTATGCCCAAGTTGGATTGGATATCAACAGGGTGCCATTGGGACCTTTGATGCCAGCTCCCAAGCAAGGAGGCGGTTTTGGGGCCCGACCCCTCAGCACCCCAGAAGCCGCTGAGTGGTTGAGGCTTCTTTTGAAAGGGACGGCAGAGCATGAAACCTTTCGTGCACACTCTCTCAAGACGACCTTGCTGGTGTGGTCAGCGAAGGCGGGGCTCGACAAGGAGGTGAGGGCTGTGCTGGGGCATCACGCCTCTGCCCTGCAGGGTTCGGAGGTGGTTTACAGCCGGCACCTCCAGACCCGGGCCTTGAGGAAGCTCAACATGTTGCTGCACCGGGTCAGGATTGGACTGGGATTGGAAGAAGATCCCATGGTGCCCAATCCCTATGCAACACCTGCAATGAGGACTCCCGCTCCAGCCACTGTCATGGCGCCGATGCCAGCGACACCTTTCCCTCCATTGCCTCCTCCTGACCTGACAGCTGGACCTGTGGCAGCAGCCATTGATGCCATGCATGTCGCTGAAGACTTGGAGAGTGTCAAGGAGGAGCTTATGGATGAGGCACAGATTGCTGCAGAGGCGGAACGGGTGTCTTTGTTTGACCTGAGCTTGGTTAACAGTGGCATTGTGGAGATTGACAGCTCTTCTGGCAGTGGAAGTTCATCTGATAGCTCGTCGGATGAGTCAGATGGGCCTGCAGTTGCAAAGCCAGATGCTGATGCGTTTGTTGAACATGTGCCTGAAGGAATTGAGTTTTTCAAGCACAAGAAGAGTGCCATAGTTCATCGTGTGAAGATCAACTCAAAAGTGGCTGCATGCGGCGCTGCGATGAATCACAATTTCAGTCAGATGCCACGTACGTTGCGAGTGAGGTGGCCGAAGTGTCTGAAATGCTTTCCAAAAGATACAACTCGGATCAGAAGTTTGGATCAAATGAATGAAGCCCTGGATGCAGCGCTGAAGCGCACGAAGCATGCCTCTGACAAGTGAGTGCTCTGCCTGTGCGAGGTTGAAAAAGTTTTGAGGGCTGCTGAGCAACGGCTCATTGGCATTTTCCGAGTTCAGTTTCATGCAAAGGCATCATTTGTAGCTGGTACAGACCAGCATCCATGACATTTTTCGGAAAGCCGAATTCTTGAAGAGTCAGGTTCAAGCGTTGCAGCAAGTTTACATGCATCTCATTTCACAGAAAGCTGTTTTGAGACAAAGGTCCTTTTTTGCAGAAAGCTGCTTTACAACTAAGGTTGAGTGAAAGAAAATTCTGTGCAGAAAGCTGCAAGTCTTCAACTTGTCTAACATGTCGCTTTGTCATGTGTTTCATTTTCTTTTCTCCTTCATTTCCTGTGCTGGTAGTGCCATGACTTCACTGTTAGACAGCACTGCACATTTCAGTGACAGATGTGGCCGGCTTGGCCTTACCCCTGCGTTTGTGAATGCGTTGTCAGTGGCAGGTGTCGATTCATTGACAAAGATTGCCTTTGTTTTAGGACAACCAGGGCAACCCATCTTGAACCAGGACGTTGATGATTTCTTGCAACGCACTTTGGGTAGGGCCGGAACACTTGCGGAATCCAGTGCTGTGAAACGTTTGACATTCGAGGCTCACACTTACCTTGTGGCTTCATTGAGGCAGCAGGTGGATCAATCTGAGGACAGTCAGCCGCGCCGTGTGGCATTTGCTGAGCGCACGCAGCGCATGGAGGCCCTACGTTTGGAGCTGAGAGGAATTGAAATCAGTGGGGAACTTGAGCCTGCGCATTCCCTGCTTGATAAGACTTGCAAGATGTTTGAAGATAACTCCATCAAGTGGCTGGAACCTTCAACTTGCATTTCACGTAGCATGGAGGTACAGGGGACAAGCAAGTCACGAGAGCTCACATTAGAGAAAGGTGCCCTGATTTTGAAGCAGGACGAAAAGGCAACGTGCTCAACAGATTCAGAGATCAAGTTGCACTACGCTCTTACACGTAGGGCTTTGGCGTTAGCATTTGCTCGGGTGATGACATACCAGCAACATTGTGCATGGGAAACTTTCTTGTTTGAGTCCCTGCATCGTGAGGTTCCCCCTGGCTATGCTAAGGCAAACCTTAGCCAGGTCGTCAGTTGTGACAAAGCTGCTTGGGCCCGGTTGGCAACACTCAATGTGCCAGTGAGGGAGGACGCCAATGGGAGATTTCCATTGGGTGAAGCCTTGTTGCAGTTGAGGCTTGACCCTGCAATAGCATTGTACCTGGCACCGTTGGCCAAACCAGTGCAGTCTCATGTGGCTCATGGAGGCAATCGTGCAACTCCTTACAACAGCCCGGCTCCTAAGTCAGGCACTGGCAAAGGCAAGGGCAAGACAGCTGGGAAAGGAAAGGCTCCTCCAATGCCTGCTGAACTACGAGGAAAATACCACAAGACGGCAGCAAATGAGCCTATTTGCTTTGCGTACAATTCAGCAGCAGGTTGCAGCCATAGCAATACAGTCAAAGCTGGTGAACGTTGCCCTAAGGGAATGCACGTTTGCGCTGAACCCAGATGCCAACAACCTCACTCCTTACAACAACACAAGTGAGGAAACCAGAAGGTGCCAAGAGATTTGAAAGGGTATCACATAGAGCAGTTATTCATGATTGAAGTGTTTGCTGGTGGTGCTGTTTTGACATCTGTGGCGAAGCATTTTGGTTTGGGTGGCATTGCAATCGACAAAATTAGGAAGTCCAACGCCCGCTGTACAATTTACCAGTTGGACCTTTTGCAGCAAGCGGACCGAGAGCTTCTTGAGGAATGGCTCTCTTCGCCATTACTTCTGTGGGTGCATTTTGCACCGGTGTGTGGAACTGCAAGTCGGGCTCGTGAGATACCACAGCCTGGCGTTGCCAATTTGCCTCGACCTTTGCGATCGCTTGATTTTCCTTTAGGTCTACCTGACTTAACTGGTGAAGAACTCAAAAGGGTTGAGCTTGCAAATGCACTGTTTCTTTACACCTGCCTTTTGTTTGCACAGTGCATTCGAAGGAATGTGCTTGCCACGATGGAAAGCCCTCGAGGATCATATTTTTGGCTCACGCCTTATGTGTTGGACTTGCAGCGGATTTACCCGCTTTATGCTACAGATTTTCAAGCTTGCATGTATGGTTCCTTGCGTGACAAGTGGACGCGAGTGGTGGCCTCATTCCCAGAAATTACAAGCCTTGACATGGCATGTGACAGAAAGCACAAACATTTGGGTTGGGGCTTTACTTTGAATGCGGCAGGCCAAAAAGTTTGGGCCACAGCTGAAGAATCACAGTACCCGAGAAAGCTCTGCATAGCTTTGGTACAATTGGTGCTACAGGTTGCGCACAGTTGGGGAGTCACTTTGAAGCCCAACTGCCTACAGGACATCTCTGACCACCCTTTGCTGACAGCAAAACAATCACAAGTTGCTGCAGGACTTCAACCAAAGACTTCAAAGTTGCCTCCAATTGTACCAGATTTTCAGCAGTCGGCAGTTTTTCTTGCCGAGGGCCCTGCAGCTATACCCTGCTCATTGATGGCTAGGCTGCCGCATGACCTTTCCTTGCGGACTGAGGAGCACCAGCCTGCACTGGTGCCAAAGGGCTCACGTTTTTTGCGTGGTCATTTTGTGAGCGGCGACGACAATGGGGGTAGTGAAGAGCCTCCACAAAATAAGAGGCGACTGGAAGATGGAACTGCCCACGACAAAGATGCGTGGGCCTACAAAGTGGTTTTTGGGTTGCCATGGAGCTGTGAGCAATTCATTGAGCGGGCTTGCAAGTCTGGCCACCCAGCGGCACAGAACCATGCAGTGCCACTAGATTTACGGGTGGCGATTCAAAAACACCTGGAATGGTCAGAACATGCATTGGTGGAATACCGGATGCAATGGTGTCGCAAATGGCTCAAAAGGGCCAAGGAGCTTGAAGATGCTGAAAGACGAGATGCTGCAACGAGGCCTGCACATGTGCAGGCAACAACTAGCAACAAACGTTTGCTCCTGACTCAGGAGATGCTTGACAGTGTGGGTTATGAGGATGACAGAGTGCTTGACTTGTTGCGAGAGGGCTCCCCATTGGCAGGAGAGATTCCTAGCTCGCCAATGTTCAAGGAGTGCTACAAGCCGTGCCTTTTGACCCTGCCGCAACTTTTGCGAGAGGCGCCGAAGCGAAACCAAGCAATTTTAGCATCTTCAAAGTCATGTGGAGACAGAGATGTTGATGCCCAACTCCTTGCAGAGACAAAGGAGGAGGTGCGTCTTGGTTGGGCTAGAGGGCCCCTTAGCAGCTTGCCTGAAGGGTCAGTGGTGTCAAGGCGATTCCCGCTGGTGCAGGGATCCAAAACGAGGATGATTGACGATTACTCGATTTCTGGAATCAATGACACTGCCTCGACCAACAACAAGGTGGACCTTCACATGATTGACACTTTTGCTGCAACAATAAGGGAATATTTCAGGCAGTGTGATGAAGCAGGTGTTGACAGCCGTCTGGTTGCAAAGACGTACGACCTCAAAGCAGCGTACCGTCAGGTGCCCATCAAGGAGGACCACCTGAGATTCTCCTTTTTTAGCATCTATAACTGTGAGCAAGACTGTGCTGAAATTTATCAACTGGTCACACTTCCTTTTGGAGCAACTCATAGTGTGTACAGTTTTTTGAGGTTGTCAAGAGCCCTGCATACCCTTGCTGCCCGTGCCTTGTATTTGATCAACACCAACTTTTATGATGACTACATACTGGCGTCCAAGCCAGGAAGTGTTGACTCAGCGAGGCACTCAATGGAGTTAATTTTTCTTTTGACTGGATGGCAGTATGCAACGGAAGGAAAGAAATGCTCAAGTTTTGACAGCGTTTGCAGAGCCTTGGGTGTTGAGTTTGATTTGACGAAGTCTGGCGAGAAGACACTGGCCATTCGAAACACCGAGCAAAGAGTTCAAGACCTTCAAGCTCTTTTGACTGCCACCATTGAAGGTGGGACCCTGGGCAAGCAGGAAGCGTTGGTGCTGCGAGGCAAACTGGGCTTTGCAGATTCCTTCTTGCATGGCAGGCTAGGGGCCTTACTGTTAAAACAACTTTCTGAGCATGCTTATGGCAGAGCTGTTAAGATAACTGGCGAACTGAAATTGTCTCTGCGCATGATGTTACAGCGGCTGCAGTCTGGAAGGCCGAGGACAATTAATGCGTTGGCTTTACAACAATGGTTTGTGTACACAGATGCAGCATACGAACCTGAGACTTGCACAGGTGGTCTCGGTGGTGCTCTTTTCAACTCTTGCGGTGAATGCATTGCGTGGTTTGGAATACGGCTGTCGCCAACAATCTGTCGTGAGTTTGGGTCTGATCTGAAACATACAATAATATATGAATTGGAACTCTGCGCATCAGTCCTTGCACTGGATTTCTGGGCTGATAGGATGCGGGATGGACTTCAAACTTGCTTTGGCGACAATGATGCAGTGCGTTTCTCCCTTATCCGCGGCAACTGTGCAAGTCATGTTGCGACGAAACTGATGGAACACCACTTGAGAAGGGAGGCGGATTGCAATTTGTGCGTTTGGTTTGCCCGTGTGCCGACAGAGGCGAACGTGAGTGATTATCCGTCAAGGGGTGCATCTCACCCTCTTCTGCCTGAATGTTGTGACGAGTCAGCAGCTGCAAAACTTTGTTTGGAAAGGATACAAGAAGCTTTACAACTGGTCCATGCGGATTAAAGGGGGTGTCCAGCCGCATTGCCCCACTGTTCAAAAAGGAGCTGTGCTCTTGAACGCTTGCACTGACATGACAGTTTGGCATGGCAGTTGTGGCCAACAATTGAAGCTTGACGATGCAGCTGAGTTTACTCATCAAATCGTCATGGTGAGTTTGTTTAGAAATGTAGCATTTCGGGTCACAACATTCTTCAATATGATCCTCAGAGTTTCTCTCAAGTGGTGGGTGGGTGGGCCGCTGTGTTTTAATCACTCCAAAGCGCCCACCCACCCAACCCTGTTTTACTTGACAGGTATGGCCAGACCCATAGCCTGTCCAGCCGCATTGCCCCACTGTTCAAAAAGGAGCTGTGCTCTTGAACGCTTGCACTGACATGACAGTTTGGCATGGCAGTTGTGGCCAACAATTGAAGCTTGACGTATATGTAATATATGTAATATATATATATTGATATAATATAATATATTTATTTATAATATAAACCCTGAGTACCATATTGAACCTACAGCAGTATGCGGGAGCATAAATATTGTCATTCTGTTTTGGGGGGAGGCCCTGCGCCCCTGTTTATGTTTTGGACTGAACCTTACCAAGTCATAGCATGAGTATTGATCACAGTTTATATACGTTGCCAAGGCTGAAGAGAGATATAGAGGTATAATTTGTAGACTAGGCTCCGCACTGACGGGTTAATTGACCGATAGAGGAAAAACAGTGCTTGCAGCCTGGGAGGACGGTTTTGCTGATCCTTAGTTGAAGGACGCTACTGCCCCTTTTCGGCCTCCACCCCCCCTCGTACATATGTTATGGCCACAAGTTGCAGGTTGTGCATTATATACATTGTGAGTACCATATTCAGCGACGAAGGGAACCTACACAACATCTCTTGCGCGGGACCTTCTACAGATATCTTTAACGAATTCATCTTGCAAAGCAGCGTCTATAGAGATCCTGTTAAGGAGATCTTGCCCACGATCTTTTAGACTAGAGAGACTTTCGCAAAGTGAGCTCCCAAAAATTTCCCTGCCATCTCTTCGTTATGTGGGGTCTCTTGCGGGATATTTTTTTGATTGTTTTTTTTTGATGGTTTTGGAGTGTTTTTTTGACTGGAATAAACATTTGTTTTTGGTGCGCTGACCCATCACTGCAGAGGGTGGTTGGGAGATGTCTATGGCAGGGTGGGCGTCGTTTACACCGTAGCAAAAAAAAGGCGAACGCTTGGTTGCCACTAAAAAACATTTTGAGTTATCTGGGGTCTATGCGGGCGAATTTTTTATGTTTGCTTGTGTGTGTTTGGTTCCGGTTCCCGTTTCAACATGTAATGACGTGAACATAAGTATGTACCATCTATGTCATGTAATGTATGTAAATAAGTCATGTATGCATGCAGCGTGAAATCAAACACTGAACACAGTCTTGTGCAGAAATGTGGCGACGCAAACTCCGACACATGGTATAACACTAAAATATGCCATGTCGATGCAATTCACAAACATGTTTGGAATGTTGGTGCGCAAAGTGATTTGTATGGACTGACTGTAGCCGAGTTATGTATTTTACCATTTGCACCAGTTTGTCTTGATTTCGTATCAGGCAAATTTTTGTTTATGGTTGCCGTCCTATGCACACAATGTGTACACTTGAATTTTTTGTTTTTTCCAATTTGCGATCCTGTGATAGTGCCACTTTGATGTTCAAGGTGATATCTTGACATTTTTGTTTCCGGACAGGACCTCAATTGATCAACATATCTGGTTTAATTGCAAATTTTGTAGTTTTCGTGTTCACGAGACCACTGCAATCCACTGCAACAAATGGCAGGTGTGGTTGAAACTTGAAACATGCAAAAACATGAAATGGACCAGGGACCAAAACTCTTGCCTGATGTGCAGTGACACAATGCGCCAAAAAATCGGCAGCACGATGGAATGTACAGGACCAAATTGTTGTGCAGTCATGCTGCATGCTGTTTAAATTGTTATTTATGTTGGGTTTATGTCTCAGTATGTGAGAGGCAATCATGAGTGGTAGCACAGAATCTGTTGCGACGTCGCACCAAGGTCTTTGACAGTTGATCAACTCCTTGCAGAATCTTCAAGCGATGAAGATCAGGTTGAAGACGAGACCTTAGCCGTTATTTTCATACAGACCACCCCAACATGTCAAAGTATTCTTGTGTGAAATCGATCAGTCTGATCAGGCAAATTTGGGAGAGGGGCGAGAGGTAGCCCAAAGCAAGGCGAGCCATCGCGAACCATTTCCCATGGACCTTTCTCGTTTGGAAACCTCGAGGGTGTTTTTCCAACTGGCTAAGAGTGGAAAACAAAACCAAAGCAATCGTGCAAAAAAAATGTAACATGCACAATTGAATTATACATACACCAAATGTTCCTAGCAGCGTCCTAGCACTGAGTGTTTTTGTTTCAAGGATACTTCTCGCTTGCAGCCGTCGGCCGGTCCAACTCTGGAGGAGGCCATTGGCAAATCAAAATGCCAAAATGTCAATTGTTTGTGTAGTCACTGTGCCTAGGTTCTCGCACAGGTGGACCTTTCCGAAGATGAGGACCATGTTTTTTTCACGAGGTAGAATCCATGGTCTCAGTTTTGGGAGCACTTGCTTTCCATGTCTGCCGGAGGATGAAGATGATATTGCTGGTTGGAGTCACAGATAGCAGAATCAGTTTCAGTGTTTTTCCATGTTTCTTATTTTCCTGTCGCCTCAAGTCAGATGAGGAAATACTCTATTTGTTCACACTTGTGGTGTGGTCTGGGAAACTTACCTGACTTGGATAGTACTACAAAGATTCAGAGCCGCGATTTGGTTCGAACAAATGTTGTTTGCAGATAGACAACTAGCAATGTCTGAAAGACACCGTCCTGTCCTGATGGTGTGTTTTTGTTTGGAATTGTATGAGGTGCCGCGGCCAAACTGAGAGTTCCAGAGGAGAGCGATGTTGCAATTGCAGTGTTCCTTGCCACTGCCATTGTTTCAGGGGATTGTACTTTTCACGAGTTGATCCAGATAAGATGTGATAACTTCATTACAATTACAATTGAGAAATATTCAGAGCAACTGGGAGATCAATTTTTGTTTTTAGACTATGGACACCCAGATCGGTTACTTCCACGAGTTGTTGATCGGCAGGCACGATCCAAGCCGACTCCCAGCTCAGGCTCGATGGGCTGGACGTGGATTCACTGAGAGCTGTGTGGATTGAGTTTGTTGACAGATGTTGACAGCGAGCAGTGGAGGCCACAGTGGCGATGAAAATGCCGAGGAATCTCAGGCACGTGTTTGAAGATGACGTGCCCGAACAGAATGGATATTGCGGATCCATACAGATCCGTATTTTCCAGGAAGGATGGAAGAATTTGTGTAACGTTGGTTGTTGGTTTGAATTCTGTCAGGAGCGAGCAGAGGGGAAACCTGGGCTTGGGTCACAGTTTTGCTGTTACATACCTTCTAGCCTTCTAGCCACTGCAATTTCTGTAAAATGAGGCAAAAAGTGGGACTGGATGAGCTGCTAGCCATGGGATCGGACTGCTAGTGCCTGCAATTTTCAAAATCAACTATTCGGGTCTTTCACTTTGACTTTCAATGCGGAACCATTTCAATGGTCCGGGGCTTTGGAGGACTCATCAAGCGACGAGAAAGTGGATCCTGCCACTTCAGAGAAGGCCAGTGAGACAATCTCCGCAGTGATTTCCCCCATTCAACAGTTTTACCATCAATTTTCAATCTGCTTAAAATTTCCATTTTCTTCATGCATCTTGGAGGCACAGGAAAAAACACACGGTGATAGGATGCGAGCTGCAATGCCTTGATCTCAATGATTCTCCCAGTTTTTTCTTTCTACTCTGTATATCTTTGTATATTATATATATATCTCTTTGTATATCTTTGTATATCTTTGTATCTTGTATTGCCAAATTTGCCAAATGTCGTTAAGGCCTCCTGCCTCAGAGAGAGGCAAGACGATGCCTCACCATGCCGCACTATGCCTCACGATCCTCACGTTGTTCTAGTTGCCGTGCTTGGGCGTGATTGCAATCAGCATGTTGTTGACAGCAGGCCAAAGTTGCGAGGATGCGACGCAGGCGGGATGACTTGCGCTCTACGTCGGATTTCAAGACATGGTGAAAACTATCAGATATTCTTGGTCAGATCTATCTTCACTTGATTGAAAGTGTTCCAAGGTATGCCATCTGACATACAGTCGAGATTCCAGGTATTTCTTGAATCTCCATTTGAGTGGTGCCTCGAGCATGAACGGGCAGGAGACTTTGAACAGAGATCGACAGGGTACGTTTGATTATTCTGTTCTGTAGCGTTTCCAGGAAACAAGATCTTGCAGAGTGTAGAACTTCTGACTGAAGAACGACTATCGTAACCATTTGATGTAGCTGCCTTTGTGCAACTCTGCCTAGTCCTTGTTGCAGTCGTCCAATGGCCCAGCACTTAGAAAGGATCTGAAGCTATGCCAGAGGGAGCATCCAGCTTTCAAGAGTATCACTATCAGGTGATCTTCCTGATGAGCGAGACTCTGGCGTGCCACTCAAATGAAAGTCCAGAGTTGGTGCACTTGCAACAAGGGTATTTTGGCTATGATAGGCTTTGACTAGCTGCGAAATTGAGAAGCTTCTTTTGGATTGCTCTTTTGCATAAGGAAACTGCAATGGCAAAGCCACTGCGGCAGGTGCCTCCTCACTTGCTGAGGCGAGCCTAGGTGCTTTTGCGCTTTTCCTCAACAGATAGATATGTTCTTAAAGAATGGCTCTTGATTTATTTCTGCTAACATCAAAAAGACACAAACTTTGTTTTGGTGTATCCCGCAGCAATTGTGGTTTTAATATGTTTTAATATGTTTTAATGCAAGGCTCTCCAAGCTGCGCGGATCCCGCGATTGGTGGAGGTGACGTTCAGACTTTTGTATTTATTTAATATATATAATGATGATGACTCGATACGACTCGATGATATGTCCATGACATGCCCATGACGTGACCTTTCGCAGAGCTACTGCATTCGCGAAGGTCAAGCCATGTTCCGAGCTTCGGCGATTGTTGGCACAGGCAGAGATCGGTAGGGATCCGTGGCTTCATGGCCCAAAGTAGCTGATGCTGCGAGCATCTCCTGAATCTCAAATCCTTCAACCTCGTCATTTCAGGAAGTTGGGCTACCCACCTGTGTTGCTGCGAGCAACAAGCTGGTGGGAGTTGGAACTTTAAGGCTTGCGAATTGCGCAGTGCCACATGCTGATTTTGTACCGCTTTGTATGCTTTGCCTATGCCTCCATGAAACCAAGACGTGCAGGGGAGCCGTCGTCCTCTTGGACAACAAATTGCAGGATGTACCCAAGGACAACAAGCCTCAAGCTGCAAGCTTGGCACATCTTGGCACTGCCACCGCAATCTTGCCAGATCTTAGCCTTGCCAGATCTTGCCTACTTGAGCTCATTCCGGTGACAGCCCGTAAGGTTTTGAGTCCAGGAGAGGAAGCTTCAGTGACATCCTGAGGAAACTTCGTGATGGCTTCTGCAAGTCCGTTCGTGCAGTTGGTGGAAGCTTTCTCTGACGCAACACAGGCAGTGACTTCAGCAGCTTTCTCGATCGACGGTGGAAGCTTGTGCCAAACTTAGTCAGCCGTCAAGAGGCACCTGCAGAATATGCTCGGACTGCTCTCAAGGCTGGTTGGCCACAAGAGCGGACAGTTGGCACTGTCGATTCCTCAGGTATGAGTTTTCAATAGTTTTCAATAGTTTTCAATAACTCTAGTGTAGTCTATTCATGTCTATTCCAGATATCCAGAAATCTCTTGAGGTGGGATTTGGCTTCACAGAAAGTTGCATGCGTTGTGCTGGAGCCACAGGGGTTGCTACAGGGGTTGCTTTGCGGATGCAGTGCGTCGTGTTAAACTGGTGAAGGGAAATAATCCAAGAATGTACTTCAATTGTTTTTCATGGAGTTGAGATGAGTTGAGTTTGATAGTTTTTGCTGAACACAGATTTGAAGCAGAGACATTCGACATATTTGGAGAGCTGGATGGCTGAAGCAAGGCAAGATGTTCATTCCTCACCAGTGCTTTCATTGGCATTTTGCCGCCCTAGCCGCTGCCCTAAAGCAAACACTGATGTGTGGTGGTGGTGGTGGTGGTGGTGGTGGTGCCCAAGCTGTAAAGCTTGCAAGTCACACAAGGTTGGCAGTATGCACTCTCTGCAGATGCAAAAGGAAGTGCGTGTTCCTCAGAACCAGATGGACGATAGATATACAACTGTATATATATACCGTGTATGTATGTAATTATATATATATATATCTGTAATATAATATATTGTTTGTGATCGCCTCATCATGGCAACGACTGCACACATAGATTCATCATAAGCACGTTGGTGTCAGCAGTTCATGGCCACCTCAGTTTGTCAAACCACTTGGCCAGGTCTACTTCATTAGCTTTTTCACTGGCACATTCGGCCGCAACTCGGATCCACACGACTGGGTTGGCCCCTGGTTTTGAGCTATTGAGGGCTGCATTTGTCAATAGGTCTGGACTTTGAGAAGCAGCTGCTTCTGGAGCAATCCTCGAGCATTGGAGTTCAAGGCTCAGAAATCTCAGAATCAGAAGTCTTACTAGTAGCATGGGAAGAAAAGGCTTGGCAACTCGTCCATTTCCGGGATTGGACGCTTGATTCTGTCTAGCAGCAGTTTTAGTACTCATGTTGAGCCGAGGTCACACTGCGAGTATTGCCTCTTCAGGCACACACACACAGACACACACACACACATACAGACACAGTGTGATGGACTTTCAGATTTGAGTCGATTTGCCGGCCTTTGGAATGTCCTGACTTTTCGTCGCCAATTCAAACAGTAGGTTTGCTTTTTGGCAGCAGGTGTCATCGCAGCAGAATCATCCTGTCATTAACTCAGATTGATTCTTTGCGAAGTTTTGATTCCACAAGATGCGAGCGACCCAAGGCAGATACTCACTGCCTGGTTGCCCTTTGTGCGAGCAGTGCCACGGTATTGCTTACTTTGCACCCGAGTGCCAGCGTGCCTCCCTCAGAGAAAGCTGTTTCGATTGAACTGGAAAAGCTGTTCTTGGTTCGCTTATGCTTCAACGATCTTCGAACCAACTGTACCCTTGTTGAGGTTGTCCAGAAGATTCAGTACAATGCCAAAGATGACTCTCAGATGCAAAGAGAAGGAGATTCGCTGGAGAGACTCGTTGGGATGTTAGCCTTGGTCAAGCCTTGATCAAGCCTTGGTCAATTGAGGCTTCATGGGTTCCTGATGCTACATGGCTTCGCATGGAATCCCAGGACAGCCATAAAGTATATAAGGGAATCGTGTAGGATGCCTGATGCTTGCAGGACTGGACGCAATCTCCACAGGCACTGCAAGTAGCAATGAATGACTTTTGCACAGTGTCTTGAACAAATCGACTTGAACTGATATCACACACATATATATATATACAGTATATATATATATACCTCGGAGTATATATACTTATATATATATACTCATTTTAAAACATAGATTTTCCTGCAGGCAGAGGTAGTCGACCCTCAGCTCTGCGTTGCCTATGGCCAGACGATCCACATCATGCGTGCCTGCCATAGTCGTTTTCTTTCTGGCCACTTGGAGCTTGCAGTGCTTCGGAATCTCAAACACATGGCAACATATTATCAAATAGTTGACGGGCCACTCGCAATTTGTCCGGAAAGACACATCGTGCACATCCGTTCAAGCAGATGAATTTAATCCCTTGAAAACCGCCCAACTTTATTCCTTGCTTTGATTTTAGTGAACCCGATGGCGCGCAGGGGTCAGCTATGGCATGAACGAGGTCAAGGGCAAGGAAGAGTTCAAAGTCTCCTTATTAGGCCATGCTGCGACTTGCGCCAAAAATTGGATTCTTTTTGTTCGCTTTCTAATCATAAATCTGACAGCAGTGCCCAGTGCCAGAATGTGAAAAGTACTGCAAGGCCGGTACAGCTGGGGATTTCCAATCCGCGGCTTGGTCTCCTTCAATGACAGTGTCTGGCTGGCATGCTTGTGAGCAACCTTGCCCATGCCTTCCCTAGCTTGTGTATTCGGGTTGTTGGAATTTCTTTCTTTTGGCAAAAGATGCTTCATAGTTTGATGTCAAAGGTGGAGCATTATCAATGGTTTAGTTGCTGATGGTTTGTGAGTTTGTGACATATTTCGGCCTAAGCTTCTCCATCCTTCGTGCTCCTAATCAAGGTAGGCCTCGTATGAGAATAATTTCCTGGCAAGTCTGTTCGTCCATCATATGCGTGCTTCCTCTTCAGCTTGTTATCTCACCTATCCAAAGAAGAGGGTGGCAATTTGAAGGGAGATGCATGAAAGCCAAGGTTGCCTATTCACAAGGAGAGAAACAAAATGTAAGTAGTAAGTAGTTCACGAATACATCGAACGCAAACAACTTGTCTCCTTATCTGATTTCAAACCAGCATAATATCATTGATGGATTGTATGCAAGGGAGAAGCCTCGTGCTTGCTTACCCTTTTGTGTGTGTTTCTCCTTGAAACAGTTTGTGAAGAGCAATCAAGTACTTTAGCAGTTTCTTGCTTGTGACCAGTGAACAACTCTTGTGAAAAGGTCATTGGAGTCCTTGATGGTACAAACAGGCAGGGGAAAAGTACAGACACAAAATGACACTGCTAAATTTACAGCTGGAAAGGCTGAGTGTGGTGCAGTTGCCACATGCGGAAGTGAAGTTGAGTGCTCAGCATACTGTCCATGGCAACGGGACCAGATGCTTCTGGTCTCACCAAAAGACTTCGTGTTAACGCCACAATAGCAGCTACTAGCAGCTAGTTCAGCATGGCGCTTTGGCTTTTGAGGCCAGCTACTGGGACTGTGCCGCTCTCCGCAGTGCACTCTGAGGATGTCCCTTCACACCAACGCATTGAGGAACGGAAAGCAAAATACTGCAGATGCAGAGCTACGGGCGCCAGGACACCACCAACTGGTCCTTGGTTTTCCACACCACACCCGTGGATGGGAGAGAGATGCGCTTGGAGACCCAGTTGCTCCTGAAGTAAACTTGAAGTAAACTAGTGTAACTAGTGTCCTTGAGACATCAAAGGTGAGGAATTCAAAAGACTCGCCACCATGGAAGCTGTTTCCAACTCTGCATGAGGTTCACATCATGGAGCCCTTGGTGTGCCCTGATGCTTACAAGGGTGGATCATAGAAAGCACAGCACTGATGAAGTCTGATGAAGATACAGTACAATTCGATACAATTCGGACAAGCTGCCTACCACCCAGCCTAGTTTGATGTCACTACATGGACTGCATGTTTGCACAAAGTTGTTGTTTGCTGCAAAGCCTCTTGCCTTGGGATTTGTCTCAACATGTCTCAACCAGGTTTCGTGGTCGCTCTAGAACTCTCTACATCTGCGGAATGAAGGAGGCCCACCTTCCATTGGGCCATGATGCTTGCTTTGATGCATGAGGACATTCGAATGATCTGTATCTAAAAAAATCGGCAAGCCATGCATGCAATCCCATTCTACGAGCTGAGTTGGGACAGGAAGGACCATAGAAACATCATGAAACATCAATTTCATCAGTCTTCACACTACGAACTGCCAGGTCTGGAGCTTTCAGATTGGTAGATGGGGCCAACACATTGAATCCGTGGTTGCAAGGTGGGAAAACTCGTCATCCATTGCCGCAAGCAATGGCACACGGCTACGATGCTTCATCACAGTATTTCTATTGATTTCTACTGATTTTAAATGGTATGTTTGGAAGACAAAATGTTTGGCACTTGCGGCCTTCCATGATAATATAGTTGGACAGTTTCACTGTACTGTGCCGCTTGGGATTCCAGAATATGCTTCTTCGTGGAAGAAACGCTGCTGTAGTTCTTTGTTTTTCAGGAATGATTGGTCGACAGCGTTGGATGTGCTTTTAGCCCTGCCTGAGTCTTTGTGGCGCTTTGTGTGACACTGGAAAGCAGACAGGAAAGACAGAAAGACATAGAAAGACATGGAAAAACAATGGAGCTCAGTTGCTGCCTGACTTGAGGCGTCGGGGAAGCCTTCCACCTTTGCTTGACTTTCCGCATGCGACAACACCTCGTAGGGTTCTTAGCAGAAGTATGCAGAAATATTTCGCTTTTGCTTTGAGCGATACCTTCGCTTTTGAGTGCGAAGCTCAGCCTGCCTTTGCCGAGGTCAGAAAGCTGTGGAGTCACGCATCACTCAGGTTCCAGAGAAACAGAGAAGTTAGGAGTGAACTTAGTGAACAGTGTCAAACAGCTTGTAGGAGTACTTGCTGACTAAAAATCAACCATCACAAAGGAACACTCCGCTTCTTGAGTCTTGGGTCAATGCTCAAAGCCCAAATCTGGAAAGGTCATTCAGTCGTACTTGGTGAACACATTGCGACCAGATGCCGCACGCTTTCAGGCTTGGAAGGAACTTGGGGTTTTCTGGTAGACATGTTTTTTACGATTTTAGGTGAAACTCACAGGAACCCGTGAAGAAAGCTGGGAAAACTGATGTTCAAAGCAAGTGACCTATTGTATTCAATAGGAAAAATGATAAAAATGCATCCCCGACAGGAATACTGCAAACATATGGGACCATATGGACTAGTGACCTGTTTCGACGATGTTCTTGACCACTGTCATTGCTGCATTGCTCACTTCATTGAGGCTGCACGAATCTGCACGATTCTTTGGAAGCCAAGCCTTTGACAAACGTTGCACGATTTGTACAGGTCCGGCAGATTTGCTTTACAGCCATCAACGTTTGCATCGAGGCTGAGCTCTGGTTCTTGCCTCAGAAACTTACCTGAGACCCGCAGGATCATTCCAAGGAATGACAACTTTGCATCATTTGGATCCATAAAACCATATAAAACCATCCAAGAGGATTTGAACCGATTCGAAGGGATCCTTCAGCACCACATACCAAGGCCTGTGCTGTACAAGACGGTTTTCGAGTGTTTCAAGGCTGGAGAGCTGATGTAGCGTCTGACTTGCTCCTGGCTTGAGCACGGCGTGTAGGCCACGGGACACATGAACGTCTACTGCACCGCACTGGAGCCCTTCATCGTGCATGGAAGGAGCCAAACTAAGCAACTGAGCACATCACCCATGGTCTTTCCAAGATGTCGCTTTGTACACTACGGTACATCTTTACATCCTTCCTTGCGAGGTGAGCAAAACAATCCTAGCAAATGTCCTGAAATGCGTCGCTCAAATTGTGATGCAGGATTCTTATGGATTCAAACGATCGAACTTAAAACATCTCCCTGGGTTCATTGCATGCTGAAACTTCTGACGCAGCAAACTTCAGGATCCCTAGGAAGGAAATGGACTCGGAGGCCTGACAACCACAGATTTTTGGGCTGCTTTGCAGGAAACCCATAGATCTGAATAGATCTGATAGTTCATATTAGTGCAATTAGTTTATATGATATCTTAGGCAGACTTGGAACATCTGTTGATATGTCAAGATTTTATGATTTAGCCCGGAATTATCTTGCAAGACTTGCCAGGTGTTGTCAAGCATTCTACAGTCCTACGCCCTTCCTTTGGAAGAAGAGGAGCAGGCTCCAACTGGGAAGCTTTTAGACTCTCGAGTGCCTGGTCTGGCTTGGTCCTCCAGAACATGATACTGTGGAAGGCCTCACATCAGGCCATCCAGGATGGCCTTGACCCAAGATGCCTTGTGGGCATTCCGAGACTTTGTGGTTTCTTGTGGGGACATATTTTCTTCGGCAAAGCTACATTGAGGTTCGGGTGGTTCGGATATTCTGTTCAGAGACCTCGATCATTTCCCGAACTTATTTCCAGTGGCGCGGAGGATTGGGGCTGCAAGCCGCACGGACCAAATTTCCTACAGTCTCTTAAGCATGCCACATGCCGAATACTGTACTGTCATTTCACACTGCGGAGGCTTCAACAGCTCGTGCTTTGTGTGGACGTGTCGAGATTGGCTTGAGCCTTTGTCAAAGAGTCAAAGAGTGGACAGTGATACCGTAGTTTTAGAGAAATGTTCACGCTTCACAGTTTTTGTTGCAGATTCTGCTGGTGAGTGCTTTTCGAGGACCTAAATCTGGCGATCCGCTTGTTCACACAACACAGGCTGGGGTTTGGCTGCATGCCTGTGATGCAATGAGAGTGGAGGCCGTCAACACGCAGATTCTAGCCCCCTGCAGGTTGTGGACCGCACTGGTCGCTTGCAAAAAATATTGGAAATCAGTCATGATTATGGTCAAAGCTACCTCTAAACAATACTCCTTGGCTTCAGACTACATTTATATACAACCAGGCAGAAGTGACAGACGCTTGGATAGTCAGTGGAATCCAAGGTCCATGTGTATTGTGCGCTTGGGGACTTTGTTTCTCCCTTGGAGCTCCTGGTGGATTGCTCAGATTTCTCTCAGAATCGGTGTCAATTTTCAAGGACGCCGTCCAAGTGGAGATCGGCAGAATTTGACCCATCATTCATGGGTGGACCTGTCAGTTTTTTTTCATTCAGATTCATTCAGGTCATTCAACACTAGTGGACTTTGTCAATGTTGAAGATTCTGGAAATTTCTGGAAGCAGCATGCACCAAGACTAAGACTTTAAGATGGACCAAGGGCCCCAAGGGTGCCTAAGACATCCTAAGACTCTTGAGTGTTCTGGAGGTGGGTGAATGCACCCAGCTGGCAAAGCGTTGCTCCTCGGGAGACCTGCCTGAAGAGGTGGCATTTCAGACACGCACACAGACGCACAGAATTCGGGATTGCACGGGTTGCAGGGGTTGCCGGGGTTGTTGGTTTAAGACAAACAATGTGAGATGCCACCCTTGCACTGTCCAAAACAGGAAACGTGCCAGAGTCTGACCGATTTTTCATAGCTGCACCTGACTTCAGGCACCCTTGCTGCAGTGCCTTCTAGTTCGAAAGCACGCCCTTAGAAGCTTTGAGACTTGTGCACAAAGTTAGTGAAACGAGTGAGCTGATGTGGTCAGGCAAGTCACAACATCTCAGTGCGTGTTGCGAGGTTGTTTTTCTTTATATACAGATGCTTTGAGCTGCGAGCCTTTCCCCTGGAACCAAAGGCAGGGTCACTCATTTTTGCAATGATCAGCGGAATTCATTTGTGCATGTCATGGCATTTGATTCATATCATTTTCTAATTACTTGGATTTCTATTCTTGTAAAGAGCGCAGCTACAGGAGTTTAAACATGTAAACATGTTTAGACTGCTAGATGGATCAGCGTTCCTCCTAAGTTCTCCCCCAACTCGCCGGGGCACTTCCTTCATTCCACCTTGATCACGTGCTCCAAACCATGTATCCCATGTATCCAGGTGTGCTGCATTAGTACCCCAGCTCTTGGTATTGGCTTGGTGTTGAAGCTTCAACAGAGTCGAACCATAGTAGTTGCAAACAAAGGCAACTTAAAGGTTTGAGCAATGCTGTGGACAGGCTTTTGTATGTATTGGCCAATAATTTGCAATCCTTGCTCTTTCTCGGATTTGTGAAACCAAATGATGTTTTCAGGCGGCTTATCATGAGTCAACACTGGCAGTGGGGTACATCAAGCTTTGTAGGATGCTCTGGGTTTGGTACAGCCTGGCCCCAATGCCATTGTAGATTTGCTCGGCTCCCAGAGTTGCAAACTTGGAAGATCTTGGAAGTTCCGGATCCGACAGTCTCTGACTGCATCCGCATTCTCAGAGGCTCGCCTGCATTTTCAAAACCTCTGATCCATCCAAGGCGCCTCGCAATCACATCATATCACATCTACACGAATTACACGGCGGATTGACATGATATAATTATAATATAACTCAAATACTCTGCAGACTCTGCAGTATGCTCAAATGCCTCTTTTGCTCCATTTCCAGTGTGGGAGGCTCCTCCCATGTTCCTCCGCCTGTCGTGGACCTATGCCACAACACAAATTATCACAGAACATTTCAGATATTCCGAATTCAGTTTAAAGTGTCACGCTTATCCTGTCACATCCTTGAAGAATGTTTGAGGCTGCGGCTTTCATTTTTGGGATTCTTCAACACCCTGTCAGCTCTCTTCACATCGCCTTCAGCAAGCAAAGTACTCAAACTACTCAAAGTGCTCAAATTGCTCGATGTGATCCATCGCCAACGGTCAAGTTGTGGACATTTTCAGGTCGCGCTATGCAAGACCAAGCTGCAGCGGGAAAGATTTCGTGGTGGAAGGAGTGACAGTGAAGTTCTCAAATTTCTGCTGGTGTTGACTGCAACGACTGGTGTGTGTCTTATTGTCGCAGGACACCCAGCAAGGATCACTGCTGAAGGCTCTGTTTGAGCTCATTCAGTTTATGGCCCCAGACAGAGGAATCAAGGGCGTCACTGGAGTCGTTGGAGTTTTTTGGCTTTTCGATTCGGCTTTTCTCGGTTTCTTGGTGGCTACACTTCTCGAGGTCATCCTTGGAGGCTGCCAAGACGCAGAGTGCAGAGGAGATGTGGAGTGATGCACACTGACATCAGTTCTCTATCTCCTTTCATCAAACTTTCATCAAACTCTTTATCTACTTTTTTCCTCACACTTGCCACCATGGCACCAGTTGATCAGCTTCAGGCATTGCCCGCCCATGCCAGGAAGGCAACCCACTTCCCGCACATGCTGAAAAGGAGTTCCTGTGGTAGCGTCCTAAAAGCTTGCAAGAGAACATCAAGACTTGGTTTTCCTGTTCAAGTCCAGAGAAGAGAAGGACTGCTGCTGTCGTGCAATTGGCAGGCTTGGTACAAAATGTGCAAAATGAAGTAGGATTTGTGGACTTTGTAACATGATGTGACATGTAATGATGTAATGTATGGCATTGTATGGCTATGTTTGTTTGGCCTTCTTTTCTCACAACTAAGCGACGATGGGCACTGGCCGAGGTTTGTTGCAAAATCTCTCCCTCGAGCAAGGGCTCAGCTGCCCATCCAGAAAGTGATGCAGGCTGGCCACCAGTGGTCACCACTGGTCATCTGTTCTTGACTCTTCTTGACCAAGTTGACGGACAATGAGAATTTAACGTACATAACGTACACCAATGTCACATTTTAATGATTAAACGTTTTTGATTTGAACGGACATCACGGACATCACGGACATCTTGCTATGTCTTGAGATGTCTTGCTGTGCCTCGTACCTGGGCATTGCGACCCTCTGATTCTGTGAGGTGGTGGATCACGTACTCTGCTCACAAGGCTCACAAGGTCCAGTGCTGACAGTGCTGACAGTGCTGATTGGCTATTTAAGATATTAACTTTATTTAACTTTGATATTAAAATTAATAGATATTTCATGATATTTCAGTAAGTTTAAGTAAGTTTAAGCATCCTGCTGGCGTTGTCCCAGGTCGTCAGAGAAAAGTTGAGCAGCTCCTGATTGGCGTTCTCTCAAATCAGGACCTTCAAAACTGTTTCAAAAGGGGTTGCCACAAATGATCACAGATATCACAGGTGACTAAACTTAGAACATTTTGAACATTTTCCACAAGCCGAGAGAGGAGAGTTTTGATGATGAACATTCTGCTGCAGTCATCAACAAGGCCAAAAAGCATTTGTGAATCACAGCAACATAACAACATTAATGGAATGCAGTCCTGCTGAAGGCCATGAATGGCTTCTGGGGCTTGGCCTCATGGCTCCATGAGAGGACGGTTGCTTTTCTCGAGAGTTTGTGGATGTCAAGAGTCAAGACATTTTCACATAAGGAACCAGACCGTTTATCCGTTTATCCTGAGGATTATCCTGTTCCTTTTGTCTTGTCCCTGACTTGAACTCCTTTCGCTGAATTTGTTCAACACTGCCCTGTTCCATTCTATCACCTGCCGAAGGAGTGGAGAATACGGGAAAGCGTTGGATTGCAGATTGCAGGCCATCCATGAAAATATTGTGAAGCAAACCGGGCTAAGTCCAAAATGTTGCAGGAAATCAGCTTGAAAAGGATCATGATCAGTGATCAGTATTAATTATAAATTATATATAATACATTTCATTATCATACTCATCAGAATCATGACCACCACCATCCTCGCTGACGCTTTTTAATTATGGCCACGTTTATCATGGCAACGCGAAACGTGGCCAGGATCCCGAGCTCCGGGAGCAAATCTTTGAATACATCATAGCAAAGTTGGCAGAGGACGGGAAAGAGCCAGCTACTGCGCTGCTTTTTTTTGGTTTGTTGTTGGGGGTTTGGCGCTTTCATGAACTTTTATGAGCTTTCATCTACTCAGTCATGGTTGCAGATGTTTGATGCAGGAGTTGAACCCGGCCCTCATTGAAGCAACGCTGCACCGGCTGCAGGCCAAAGCATGTCAAGTGTTTGGAAGGTTGCTTTCAGAGATTTTCAGAACATATCTTGCAAGAAAGGTAGAATCTGCTATGCCACTGCTATGCATACAAGAGCAGTGGCATTCCAACGACAGGCTTTAGTGGAGGTCGACAACGAACTTTGCTCCCTCATGTTGTGTGAGCAGTTTGCCAATGTGCCTGATCACTCAACTGTGCGACTTGGCTGCTTGAGACCCTAAAATGACTGAGCGAGGGATTTGCGTTTGAATGCTTTTGAGTTCTAGAGTGTTCCTTTTATCAAAGCTCTGTTCTGCATTCATGCCTCGAGCAACTGAGGCTTGACAGTTTGAAACCTTATCCTCAGATGGAGATGAGATACTTGGAGGTGCCAAGAGTATGAGTAAGTTGTTCGCCAGGAAGCTGCCAAGCCAACTTCAAGGAACTTAGAAAACCGGAGTTTCATTGGCAAGTAACCCGATTTCCATGACACGGTGTTTCGCCAGCCCGTTAGACGACAACCCTCGGTTTTGAAGTCTTCCCAGCCTCTCGTGCTAGGCCCTGCTCCTTCGATGGACGGGTGCAGCTGACCGCCAGGCAGGGCGGGGAGCGCAGCGGAGCGCATGGGCCGAGGGGTCCTTGACCCGGAGCCGAGAGCGACGATGTGCGACGAGCGACGTGTTGCTTCTGTTTTCGGATGTTGGGTAGAAGAACAGCAACTGCTTGAAGGCAGCCTCACTTGGACTCACTGAGCTTGAGCCTGGCTTGACAGGCTCAGATGAAAGAAGATTCTACTGTGAAATTGTCTGCAGGCATTTTTCAACATGCACGTTGTGCGCTACATAGATCTGTGTAAACCTCAGTGGAGCAATTTTCACATCCCATCTGAGTTCTGAAGCCGATCCTCTTTTCCTCCGTCCCGGGGTCCGGGGAAATGATGTGTTTGCTATGAGTCCAAAAGCAGGCTGATACCATCTAAGGCTGTGCCAGCATTGCCCTTCAGCTGTTCTGCCCTTCATCCTGGAGAATGAGGCTTGATCCATGAAGATATCATAAGATATCATCCTTGAGAATATCCAACACCCCCAATCCACCAGATGGGCAGATTAGCAGATTGGCAGATTGGCTCGAGTTTCTGGAACGCGAAGATCTGGTGAAGAAAGTCTTGACCAACGCTGAGGCGCTACCATTGAGGGAGTGCTTGGAGCTGTGCGGCAGGCAGGTGGAATGGGGTGCGAAGACGAGGGGCATTTGTGCAGGTGGTGCTGCCCAGGTATCGAGTGACCGATGCGTCCGTGCACTTGTTGGAGCGGACTGGTGACTTTGCCAGCGTGCTCCAGCCATGCACCTAGAATTGAGCGTAGAGAGGATCCTTTTCAAACACGGGAAGCTTTTACAAGGTCTTTTCAATAGCGGAACTTGTCTGGAGATTTCACAGTTGCTTCTTGACTTGCATGTAGGTGTTGCATCCCCGCCGCAAGCGTTTGGCCAAGGAGGGGGCTCAGTACCAAGATCCCAGTAGGACTGTAGGAATCCGTAGAAATGTTCCAAATGCTTCGCGGAGCAAAGGGCTTGCGCCTGGGTGTCGCAGCTGCTGGTGCCAGCAGTGCGGCTGGCTTGGCATATTGGCACCGGGAGCGAAAGCCTGTTGCAAGATGTGAAACGGATGTAGCAACCGTCGGTGCTGCACTAGTTGGAGGCCTGGGAGTAGGAGCTTTGGGTGGATACTTCTTCGGAAAGAAGCAAGGTGAAAGTGCAGCCGAGAAGTATGAACAGTACTGGCCCAGGAAGATCATGATGCTCTTTGGTGCACCTGGTGCTGGAAAGGGCACTCAAGGTCCCAAGATTGTGGACACCCTTGACATTCCACAGCTGAGCACTGGTGACATGCTTCGGGAGGCTGTTGCTGCCAAGACCGAAGTTGGTAAAAAGGCTCAGGCTGTGATGGCCTCCGGTGGCCTGGTGTCGGATGAGATTGTGATTGGGATCATTGCGGACCGCATCAAACAGCCAGACTGTCAGACAGGCTTCATCCTGGATGGCTTCCCTCGAACCTTGGCTCAGGCCAAAGCCTTGGATGCCATGTTGGCCAAGAATGGCGAGGCCGTGTCTCTGATTGTGGAGTTCTCGGTTAATCCTGTGATGTTGGAGGAGCGCATTTGCGGCCGATGGATGCACAAGGCCAGTGGCCGATCGTACCACGTCAAGTTCACCCCGCCAAAGTCCATGAAACTTGGTCCAGATGGAAAGGTGCTGCCCGAGTCGATGAAAGATGATATCACCGGAGAGCCACTTTACCAGAGATCTGATGACACAGCAGAGGCTTTGAAGACACGTTTAGATGCCTACAAGAATCAGACCCTTCCAATTTTGGAGCACTACAAGGACAAGGGCATTGTCAAGCAGGTGGATGGTGGCAAAGACATCAAGGACGTTTGGACGGAGGTGCAGGCCAAGCTCGTGTCAAAGTGATGAAATTCTTTGATGCGGTGAGTGGAACTGCGCCAGCAGCCACTCCCACTTTTGGAGCGTTCAAGGTGCCATGCTGAAATGACTGATGAACTACCAAGATCTTTGGCTTCTGTGCGCTTTGAAGACAGCTGGCTTTAGAGTTGGTGGTGGATGAAGACGAAAAAAGATGACCGCGCGCTTCATGTCTGTACACGACATTTATGGCAACTTGTGACAAAGCTCCTTCTGCCCATGATTTCCAGCCATTCTGACAGTCTGTCCTGAATGATTTTCCTTCATCCCTTCGTTCGAGGTTAATGCTGAGCGACTATCAGGAAGCCATTGACAAGCTGTGTGCGTCCTCCTCCTAAAGGGATTCACAGAAATTGTCATGCTTCGCAAATTTTGCTTGGCTCCAACAGTTGACCTCTTAAACTGCTTGAGCGCTGTTTTTGTTCAGGTGCTTCAATGGCCAAGGAGACCGAACGATTGTCTCGAAAGTCGGTGGCACAGAGTCGACTGAGTCGACTGACGACCGGTCCCTTAGTGCACTTAGGCAGTGAAGCGACTCCTGGGCCACGGCCACGGCGGCCAGGACTCCGCTGTCCGTTCTGCAGAGGCGATTGCTGACGAGCTTCGCAATGCTTCGCAGCTTTTGTTTTTCGGTTTTGATTTCTTGCCTTATTCTGCTATATTCTGCTATATTCTGCTATATTCTGCTATATTCTGCTATATTCTGCTATATTCTGCTATATTCTGCTCTATTCTGCTCTATTCTGCTCTATTCTGCTCTATTCTGCTATATTCTGCTATATTCTGCTATATTCTGCTATATTCTGCTATATTCTGCTATATTCTGCTATATTCTGCTATATTCTGCTATATTCTGCTATATTCTGCTATATTCTGCTATATTCTGCTATATTCTGCTCATTCGTTGTTTATCATGATGTTTATCTTTGTTTGGTTTTTCGATCCATTTCTATCTTTCTCCTGGTTCTGAGAGAGGAGGCTAAACGAACACTTTAGATGAAGATAAAAGTCAGTGGGTCATGTTTAGCTCAAATGATCCAGGCTTGGTGGGAAGGATTTGCGGAGGCCTGATGATGATGCCTAGCTGAAGCCTGAATGGATAAAGTGCGATGAGAGCCCTGAGTCTGAACAAATCAACTGCCAGGCGCAGAAATGCGTGAACCTCCTTCAGAATGTCTATGACTTGAGCTCCAGGATTGCATCCTTGATTTTTTTCCGACGAAGGTTTGCATGAATCCCCATGACTTGCAACAAACAACTTGGAACACTTTCTTCGGTGGAAACAAATTCTTGCTGTAGCTGTTACCATCGAGGATTCCTTCTGTGAATCCCCAATGATGGAGTGCAGGAACTCGAACATCATGACAGAGGTACAGTTGGAGGAGCTTGAAAAGACAAAGTGGTTTGGAGGGTCACGCAGCCATGAAGCTGCATTGATCCTTGCACAACAAATCTGTCAGGAGCTTTGGTTCGGCATTCTGGGCTTCACTGTGCGGAAGCAGGCATCAAGCATGTCATAACAAATCGAACGGATCAAAGAGAGGGCCAGCGGCGGATTTCTGCACTCTGAAAAGCCAAGAGCTTTTCCAGTCCCGCAGTGCAAGTCACGCCAGTGACAGGAAAGCCTGCCTGAATCTGCAGCATCAGAACGCCGGCTGCCAATCTTGTGCAGATATTTCCGGAGTGTGCTTTTGGATCCTTGCACCGACTTGGACCCTTGATTTCTTGAGTTGTTGTCAAAGCGTTGAGGTAGAATCGCTCAAAGTATGTAGTGCTGTGAGGTCGAAAAACTGGACTTGGTCTTGCTTTGCGTGAGTTAGCTGCAAAGGCCGGTGGTTATTTCATGTTATTTCAACCATGGAGGGGTTTTCCATATACTGGAAAAATCATCTACGACTGCAAATCGTCAATGGATCAGGCCATGGCAGGTGTCCTGGCGTACTTGTGGGGCTCCTCAGAATAGCTTAAGGTAGAACAATTTCTGAGTTGGAATTTGGTCCACTAAATCCGAGTCGGGTGAATCCTTGGAGCGGCTTCAGGTCACTGCCACGGTGTCTAAAATGGATCTGTGCTGAATTTGGCCAATCCACCTTGGGCATCTGGAAGGAAAGCTGCCAGCGTCAGAGTTTTTGAATGTGAAGTTTCTATCTCGAAACATATTTTTTTCTGAAGCTTCGTATTAATTTGCTTTGAGTTCCTTTTTGAACCCTTAAACCTTGGATTGGATCTTTCCAAAAAAGGTTGATTTTGGTGCGATGCCCCAGGAGCCTTTGCAGAGCATGCTTTCTGGCCTTGGCTTTCAACAAGGACTTCTGCAGGCAGCTGCATCTGTTGCTGCTCAGGCCAGATGTTGCTCGTGGGTTTTCTGTTGTCCATTGGAATCAGTCTAGGCCCAAAAGGAAGCAGCCAGTAGAAAACCCTTATCCGAAGCAAAAACCAAACCCTTTAGATGAAGTGATCCTGAGTTCTGACTTCTGAGACGTTGCCAAAATCAGGTACTGTCAGGTGTTGGTGTTTTGCTCGCCCAGGATGTCATGAAACCCTTCGTGGTGCTCAAGATGTGTGGAAGTCGTGGTGCCTTGGTGTCACCGAGGACTGCCTCACTGATCAGTGGCGAGGCCCAGAGTTTTTTCATCGTTCAAAATGGGAGGACTGCTGCAGTGGGCGTCGGAAGCCTGGAACGGAGCCTGGAATGGGTTGTAGTCATAGTTATAGTTATAGCTATAGTATGATGTTATAGTTGTAGAGGTGGTGGCTTCACTACTGGTGCCTTTGGGCCCAAGAAGAAAATGAAGAACTTTGTGCTTTGCAGGGTGGTTTGGTGAAGGTTCCGCTGGTATCTCCGATCAAGGCAAGCTCATTCTCATTGCTTTGAGAGTAGGTGTATACTATACAGACGATACACTACCATACACTACTATGCTGCATATAGAATGCATATAATATAGTGAATTAAATGTCAATGAAAGCATAGCTCCTATTTGCATTGCAACATTGGCGATACTGCTCTGGTGGGAGGCGCGTGCTGGAGGCTTCTCTGGAAGGTCAGGACCCTGCCTTCGACTTTGGCATCACACAGAGCATGCAGTCGGCCACACTGTGTTCCCCGCACAGGCTCTCGGTGAACGTCCGGAAGCTACAAACAGATCCAGCGATGAGAAAAAGATACCGCTCTTGCAGCAGTGTTTGTGTGGACGTTGACAAGGTAGCGAGTACTTGTTCCCCACATCTTTGTGTGGGGTTCTTGTTTTTGATTCTGTATCTTCGCCTTACCACTTTGTCACACACATCTTTGACACACACACCATACACACAACTTTGTCACACACAACTTTGTCACACACAACTTTGTCACCCACCATCTTTCACACACAACTTTGTCACACACAACTTTGTCACACACCATCTTTCACACACACAACTTTGTCACACAACTTTGTCACACACCATCTTTCACACACAACTTTGTCACACAACATCTTTCACACACAACTTTGTCACACACACAACTTTGTCACACACCATCTTTCACACACAACTTTGTCACCCACCATCTTTCACACACAACTTCGTCACACACAACTTTGTCACACACCATCTTTCACACACACAATTTTGTCACACACAACTTTGTCACACACCATCTTTCACACACAATTTTGTCACACACACAACTTTGTCACCCAACATCTCTCACACACACAACTTTGTCACACACCATCTTTCACACACAACTTTGTCACACACACACAACTTTGTGACAAACAACTTTGTCACACACAACTTTGTCACCCACCATCTTTCACACACAACTTCGTCACACACAACTTTGGCAGGCGTGGCACTTGGAGTCATCTACCTGCGTTTGGCGTGGCAGGTGTGGCACTTGGAGACATCTACCTGCGTTTGGGCACTTGTTGCTTGGTGGCGCGCTTGTTCGCCGTTGGTCGCCGTTGGTGGCCCGGGGCGCCGCTCGACTTTGCGTGGCAGGTGTGGCACTTGGAGACATCTATATACCTTTGTTTCACGTGGCAGGCGTGGCACTTGGAGACATCTACCTTCATTTCACGTGGCAGGCGTGGCACTTGGAGACATCTACCTGCGTTTGGCGTGGCAGGGCGTGGCACTTGGAGACATCTACCTGCGTTTGGCGTGGCAGGCGTGGCACTTGTTGCACTTGGCGGCGGAGTTCCGATCCGGAGTAAAGTCGGATTCGAGTCGGTTTCGGGTTTTGGGTTTCGGGTTTTGGGTTTCGTCGCTTGAAACCAACTTTCGCTGTCGGTTTCGGGTTTCGGGTTTCGTTGATTGAAACCCACTTTCGCTGTCGGTTTCGGGTTTCGGGTTTCGATCGACCCTGGGGAAGTTAAGTCTTCAGAGTCCGTTTCGGGTTTCGGGTTTCGGGTTTCGCAGTTCGAAACCAACTCTAACAGTCGGTTTCGGGTTTCGGGTTTCGGGCTTCGTCGATTGAAACCCACTTTCGCTGTCGGTTTCGGGTTTCGGGTTTCGGGTTTCGGCTTTCGATCGACCCTGGGGAAGGTAAGTCTTCAGAGTCGGTTTCGGGTTTCGGGTTTCGATCGGTCCTGGGGAAGTTAAGTCTTCAGAGTCGGTTTCGGGTTTCGGGTTTCGGGTTTCGCAGTTCGAAACCAACTTTAACAGTCGGTTTCGGGTTTCGGGTTTCGGGTTTCGTCGATTGAAACCCACTTTCGCTGTCGGTTTCGGGTTTTCGGGTTTCGGGTTTCGGGTTTCGATCGACCCTGGGGAAGGGTAGGTCTTCAGAGTCGGTTTCGGGTTTCGGGTTTCGGGTTTCGATCGGTCCTGGGGAAGTTAAGTCTTCAGAGTCGGTTTCGGGTTTCGGGTTTCGCGTTTCGCAGTTCGAAACCAACTTTAACAGTCGGTTTCGGGTTTCGGGTTTCGGGTTTCGTCGATTGAAACCCACTTTCGGTTTCGGGTTTCGGGTTTCGGGTTTCGATCGACCCGACCCTGGGGAAGGTAAGTCTTCAGAGTCAGTTTCGGGATTCGGGTTTCGGGTTTCGGGTTTCGATCGGTCCTGGGGAAGTTAAGTCTTCAGAGTCGGTTTCGGGTTTCGGGTTTCGCTGGTCGAAACCAACTCTGCAGACCTCTCTCCGGATCACGTCTCTGGTGGCGCGCTTGGTCGCCGTTGGTCGCCGTTGGTCGCCGTTGGTCGCCGTTGGTCGCCGTTGGTCGCCGTTGGTCGCCGTTGGTCGCCGTTGGTCGCCGTTGGTCGCCGTTGGTCGCCGTTGGTCGCCGTTGGTCGCCCGGGGCGCCGCGCCACTTTGTGTGGGGAAATTTGGAAATTTGGCGAATTTAGGGCAAATTTTAACGCAATTTTGCAATATTTTGCAAGCAAATTTGGCAGCTTTTACAACATTCGGCTGTTCTTGGCAAATTTGGCAATTTTTGGCAAATTTGGTGCTTTTTTCCGATTTCGGCAAATTGAAGCATTTTTGGTTCATTTTGGCAAATTTGGCAAATTTAGGCATTTTCTGCAATTTTCGACTATTTTGGCAAAGTTGGCAATTTTTGGTAAATTTTGGGAACGCACAAATCGCGTTCCCACCCTTCCACTTTGCAATCTGTTGTCCCGACAAACGGTGTATATAGATATCTCTTGAGGAAGAGCGCACACAAGCAAGACATAGGGAAGGATTGCATGTCTTTGCTTTCGAAAATATCCACCAAAGCCTTCTTATAGCTTCAACTGGTCACTGTGTTCTGTTCGACTACAAATGCCTTGACCCTCCCAAAACTCCGCTCCAGCCGGGGCAGAAAAGCCACCGCGTTGCAAAGCACCAGCTCCCAATCTTCCAACAAATCTCTTTGTTCGACTTTCAGCAAGCAAAAATCACGAACAAAAAAGTTTTTGGCCCGCATCCATGCTGGGTCGCTCCGGCCCTGGTTGCTCGTCACTACATCCCTCAAGGTCTGTTTTTGCAGCTGCACAATTTCACCTGCAAACCTTGCGAAAAATTCTTGCACACCAATCAATGCTGCCGCACGAGCAGCGCTCGCTGCTTTGCGGCCGGCTGCCCTGGATTTACACAGTTCTTCAGTTCTTCTTCCCACGCGGCCACAGTTTCCATTTGCTCTGCTGCCACTTCGTCACTGTAGCCTTCCAGAAATACTCGGGCGAAGGTCGACATCGGAAATTGTAGCATGTGCCGACTTCGCAGAGCAAGCTGTAAATTCCTGGCTCCTATTTTTTTCAGAGCTTCCCCTTGCTCCGTGAGAAGCGACTCAACACGCTTGAAGCATCTCTGGAGACGGGACAGAAAAGCCACAGCCTCCAGAGTGGACATCTTGCAAAGAACAAATTCCCAATCTTCCAACAAATCTCTTTCTTCAACTGTCAGCAAATGAAAGTCACGAACAAAAAAGTTATTCGCTTGCTTCCGCTCTACGTAGCTGTTGGCCTGGTTGCTCATCACCACATCCCTCAAGGTCTGCTTTTGCAGCTGCACAATTTCAGCTGCAAACTTTGCGAAAAATTTTTCCGCCCGCGCAAATGCTTGCGCGCAAGTCCGACGAACTCGTTGTTGTGCTTCAGCACTGATCCGACAGAATTGGGCTTCCCACATTGCAATGGTTTCCTTGTGCTCTAGTGTAAAGCTTTCAGAATAACGTTCCAAGAGAACCAACATGAAGACGGCCATGGGATCGCTTTTCACCTCTCTGCTGCGTAACACACCCTCTAAAGTTGCGGCTCCGAGCTGCTGAATGCATTCGGCCTTTTGCAAGAAAAATTGATGACCGCGGGCAAAGCAACTCTCCATGCGAGACAAAAAAAGCCACCGCGTCCAATCTCGACATATCACAAAGAACAAATTCCCAATCCTCCAATAGCTGTCGCTGCTCTACTGCCAATGTAGGCACCTTGCGCCTTGCGGTGCCAACATTTTTTGGCTGCATTCCACTCCTTGACCTGGCTCGCGCGATTACTTTTCAGCAGCGATTCCAAAGTTGGTTTCTGCAACTGCACGAGCTCTTGGCAGTAAGTTGCTAAAAATGCAACAGTTTTGCTCACATCGTGTGCCATGGCGAACAACGTGCAGCTAGTAGTGGCGGAGAGAAAAGTCACACCAGTCCCAGCTGACGACCAAACGGACTACGGGTGGAGGACAGAAAAGTCACACCACTGCCAACTGACTAACAAAATTGATTACAGAATGAAAACGGTTTGGTTGACATATTGTTGGATTGTTGTGAACATTAAAGTCATTAATCAACCATCGCCTTGTTAAGACATATAGTCAACAACATAAAACTAGTGGTGGTCAAACTCTGGGGGAACTGAGTAACATTTCGATTGTTAGATATACCTATGTCAGTGAATATGGCGAAACAACACATCATGACTTTGAACCGAGAAGTGTGCAAACCAACATCAAGATTCAACCCATAGATAAAACATCTGTTCATGTTACCATTCCTAACTCCCTCCATTCCTATTGTCAACACTTAACCATCTTCAGAAACTATGCCAACCGAATGCTACCATGCCGTTCATTGGATAACTGAACCACACTTATGCACATGAACCCATTCAGTAACAAACCCAGATCCATCCTGAGGATAACAACATGAATGAAATCTCAAAGAGACCGAACATGTATCTATATCTAACCAATTCACTTTCTTTGGACATAGCAACGATAATTTCCCAATCAAGCCATTACATGCGACCGAAACCCCGACATCTTTAACATAAACATTTGATGAACCAAGAAAAATAACACATGAACACATTGAGTAACAAACTCAAATGCATCTTGTAGGTAACAGCGTGAATGAACTCTCAATGAGACGTAACCTGAATCTAAGAAACAATAATTCCCCAATGAAACCATTTTGTTCTGTTTATGTTTCTATCTATCAACCAACAAATTATCTATCTATCTCTCGGTCTGTCTGTCTGTCTGTCTGTCTATCTACCTGTCTATCTGCACGCTTGAAAACCTTGCTATTCTACGAGACTTCTTCATTTTTCCAAGTTAATAACATCAAAAACGCAGAACTTCTGCGAGACTTCCTCATTTTTTTGAAGTTGATTACATCAAACAGAAAACATTTCTGCGAGACCTCCTCCTCTTTTTAAGTTGACCACATCAAAAACGAAGCAATTCTGCGAGACTTCCTTCATTTTTGAACTTAACAACGTCAAAAACGAAGCAATTCTGCGAGACTTCTTCATTTTTCACACTTGACAACATCAAAACCCAAAGAATTCTGCGAGACTTCCTTCAAAAATGGAAAGTTGACTGCAGCGCTGACGGCCTCGTGCCAATACGTATTGCGATTTTTCCATTCCATGTGTCTAAAGTACTGCGCCTGCCACGAAAAAGTGATGCCAGGTCATACGAAGTGCTGCACCTGTCACGCAAAATCATCTAAAGCAAACCTACAGATCTGATGCTCCAAAATGCAACCCCTCTCAGGAAATCCGCGCCCTGACCTCTTAACATCTCTGATGAACATGTCTTTTGTACTGTACCTGCCACGGAAAATGCATCTTTGCAGATCGTCTTCAAACGTCCCATGCCTGCCATCCTTTTTGGAGATGCGACAAAACCTTCACGTTTTGCTCACTTTTGACAAGGTGCACAATCCCTTGCGCCTGCCACGCAAAACGAGATCTGAATGTCCAAAAGTGGTCCGAACGTGGTGCGTTTTGTACATTTTGACTTCGAAATGTGCTTCGCGCCACAACGGCGTGCACTCTTTCGACATCTCAACTTCCAAAAGTGGTCCGAGAATGGTGTGTTTTGTGCATTTTGACTTCGAAATGTGCTTCGCGCCACAACGGCGTGCACTTTTTCGACATCTCACCTTCCAAAAGTGGTCCGACACTGAGGTGTTTTGTACATTTTCACTTCGAAATGTGCTTCGCGCCACAACGGCATCAAATCATTGGATTTTTTGGAGAACGGCATCAGAAGTTGAACTTGCTTACTTCTTGATTTTTTGGAGCCACAAATCATAGGAAAAACGCAGTGCTTCGCGACTTTCCTACCTTTTCGCGCATCTGCATCTTCTTTCTTCTGACTCTTTCTCTTCTATCATCTTCTCTCTTCTACTCTTCTCTTCTCTCTGCCTCTTCCCCATCTCTGCTTTTCCATCTGTCCATAATGTACAAAACACACCAGGTGCGGACCACTTTTGTGAGTTGAGATGTTGAAAAAGTGCACGCCGTTGTGGCGCGAAGCACATTTCGAAGTGAAAATGTACAAAACACCTCAGTGTCGGACCACTTTTGGAAGTTGAGATGTCGAAAAAGTGCACGCCGTCGTGGCGCGAAGCACATTTCGAAGTCAAAATGCACAAAACACACCATTGTCGGACCACTTTTGGAAGTTGAGATGTCGAAAAAGTGGACGCCGTTGTGGCTCGAAGCACATTTCGAAGTCAAAATGTACAAAACACCTCAGTGTCGGACGACTCTTGGAAGTTGAGATGTGGAAAAAGTGCACGCCGTTGTGGCGCGAAGCACATTTGGAAGTCAAAATGTTAAAAACACTAGGGGTTCGGACCACTTTTGGAGGTTCAGATGTCGAAAAAGTGCGCGCGGTTGTGGCGCGAAGCACATTTCGAAGTCAAAATGTTAAAAGCAGCAGGGGTTCGGACCACTTTTGGAGGTTCAGATGTCGCTTCGCTTCACTACACTACACTACATTACACTACACTACACTCCACTACACTACACTACACTCCACTACACTACATTACACAACACTACAACTACAACTACAACTACACTCCACTACACTCCACTACACTCCACTACACTAAATTACACTACACCACACTACATTACACTACACTACACTCCACTACACTACACTACATTGCACTACACTACACTACTTTCCACTACACTTCACTACATTACACTACACTACACTCCACTACACTACAACTACAACGACAACTACGCAACTACACTCCACTACAATACACTCCACTACACTCCACTACATTTAATTGCACTACACTACATTACACTAGACTACACTCCACTACACTACACTACATTACACTACACTACACTACCTTCCACGACACTTCACTACATTACACTACACTACACTCCACTACGCTACAAATACAACTACGACTACACAACTACACTCCACTACACTCCACTACACTAAATTACACAGACTACACTACATTGCACTACACTACACTACATTCCACTACACTCCACTACACTACACTACATTACACTACACTACATTACACTGAATGACGCTGCACCACAGATAGACAGGTAGACAGATAGACAGACAGATAGATAGATAGATTGATAGATAGATAGACAGACAGACAGATAGACAGACAGACAGATAGACAGATGAAAGAGAGAGAGAGAGAGATATAGATAGATAGATAGATATAGTCGTCCCGGAATAGATAGAAAAGTGCCAAACCTCGAAAACCGATCTAGATTATAGATTTTGGGCCTACTTTTCCATCTATTGTATCGTACTGTTTTTTGCGGTAAATCGTGCAAAAAACGTGTTTTTCTGATGATTCTGGAAACAGATTTTACTGTAAATAGCGAATCAATATAATAGATGGAAAAGTAAAACGTTGCAAAACCGATCTTGATAAACCAAAAAAGTGTACAAAAATCAAGCTTTTCCTGCAAATACCAGGTCGATACAATAGATGGAAAAGCACCCTTTACTCAGTTTATGCAGTTTTCAGGGGAAAACTAACAATATGAGCCCCGTTTCTGCAGGCTTCCAGTGCAATTCCCATAGTAAACCGCAATGGTCCCAATGGCATTAACGTTTGCGGGTCCCATTTTCTAAGTCACTGAACTGAAGAACGGCCACCCTTTTCCCATTTCCCATGCTCAAAAGCAGTCGTCCTTAGTTCGGAGTTCTTAAAATCAAAGCTTTAAGCTTTTTTCCGACCAATCTGCCTGGCCATTTTCATTGAGTACATGCAACCTTCTTCGTAAAGTCTTTCGTGGTAGTGCCCATGAAAGGGCAGTACATTCTCCAAGACTTCTTTGTATCGTAAATCGAATTCTGCACTCAGACCCCCCTCAGGCCTAGAGCTAATGCACTTTCAGTGCTTTTGTGCCCAAAACATGTGGGATGAAGCGCAACCATCTAGTACTAAACACGACTTACAAAACCAAAACTTTTGATGTTTGGCAGGGCATCATTCATAACAGCAATTGGAATCCCTTCGGGCCAGCTTAAAGATTGGGTTTTGAGCTTGGGACACTGCTCAATGGAACTAAATCAAATGGCATTTGGACATTTCCATCTATTGTATCCCCCAGGTAATTCATGTCCACTGCTGAATGCGCAAGTTCATCCCGGAAATTGCAATGTTTGCAAATCGTTGGAGGAGCTATCCAAATTGAACAAAAACCAACAAATTCCACATGAAACACCAGCTAAACAACTTGGTTCTGCTTGTATAGTCTGGAACAACTAGCTCCACCTAAAAACTTCAGCGCTTTTGTGATCGCAGCATATGGGATGCCGCCCAGCCAGCTAGTGCGACACGCGACTTGCAAAAACACAGCGTTTGCCTGGATACATATATATATAATTATTTATGAAATTGATCAGTGTCAGAACCAAATTGGCTATGATGTTTGGCAGGGTGTCATCCATAACTCCAAAACAATAACTGGAATCCCTTCGGGCCAGCTTAAAGATTGGGTTTTGAGCTTGGGACACTGCTCAATGGAACTAAATCAAATGGTATTTGGACATTTCCATCTATTGTATCCCCCAGGTAATTCATGTCCACTGCTGAATGCGCAAGTTCATCCCGGAAATTGCAATGTTTGCAAATCGTTGGAGGAGCTATCCAAATTGAACAAAAACCAACAAATTCCACATGAAACACCAGCTAAACAACTTGGTTCTGCTTGTATAGTCTGGAACAACTAGCTCCACCTAAAACCTTCAGCGCTTTTGTGATCGCAGCATATGGGATGCCGCCCAGCCAGCTAGTGCGACACGCGACTTGCAAAAACACAGCGTTTGCCTGGATACATATATATATAAT